TCTCTAGTTAGGTTCACTCCCAAGTATCTCAATTTGTGGTTGCCTATTAAAATGGTATTGCTTTCTTTCTTTCCTTCTCTGAGTTCTCTTTGTTACTGTAGAGGAATCCCACTGATTTTTGGATATTGATCTGATATCTTGCCACCCTATTAAATTGGCCTACTAACTTTAACAGGTTTTTCATTAAGTCTTTGGGGGTTTCTGTGTACATTATCATATCACCTGCATATAGCATCTATTTAACCATCCCTTTGCTGATCTGGATGTCTTTTATTTTCTTCTCTTGTCTTATTGTCCTAGCAAGCACTTCCAATACAATAGTGAATAGAAGTGGTGATAGTGGGCATTTTCTTTTAAATGCATGTTTGGATTCTACTGGCTAGGATTTTGTTAAGAAGTTTGCATCTATATTCATGAGAGATATTGGTCTGTAGTTTTCTTTCTTGGTAATATCTATGCATGGTTTTGGTATTAAAGTTATGCTTGCTTCATAGAATGACATTGGAAATGTTCCTTTTCATGATTTTTTATGAAGCTGGGGTTACTATGATGCTGAACCTTATGCCACTGGGGTGTCAAATTTCATGATTAGCCATGGTAGACAGTGTTTAGTGGCACTCCCAGATTAAGACAGATTTGGAAGCAGGAATGGCATCCACTTCCTAAATGACATGCCTCTGAAAACTCTATGAACTTTGAGAAATGATGATAGTTATAGAAAGGCTTCAGATCTTTTGTTCATAAGGTTACTATGAGTCGTGCTCGATTCAACAGCAATCAACAACAACTATGTCTCAGGAGAGTTTGCTTTCTTAATGGTTTCTTTTGTTTCTTCTATCATTTGCACCTTCTTCAGTAGCCATTCAAATAATTCCTCATTTATATATTTCTCTGGTGCTCTATCTCTAGATTATTTCCTTTATTTGTGGCTTCCTTTGTTTCTTCCACCATTTGTACTTTCATTTACAGCTGTTCAAATGTCTATCAATATATATCATCTGCCTTTATGACTCTGGGGATTCATGAGGTCTCTAATATTCTCTGTGTCTTTTGTTTTCAGTGTTTAAAGCTGCCTGCTGCTTTCTTGACATTATTAGCAATTTGTCTTCATATGTGGTAGGCCATTTCTATTGTGTCTGCGTAAGTTGTTGGTGATTCTTATCATTATGATGTTACTGATTAGCTGCCAGGTTAAAATGTTCAATCTGTGGCATGAGCCACTTACCCTACTGAAAGTCCTTTCTGGGGAAATTTGCCTTTCCTAAAATTCTTGACGTTCTCTCTGTTTTGCACTGCAGCCATGCAGGAATTTCACCTTGATGTAGTCCACTGCCCCAAACTCTGTTGTCGTCCTTCGTGTATGAAGTGGCTGAGTGTTTGGGACCAGATGCTCTACTCAAGCAATTTCTCATGCATCTTTTCTCCTAAAACTTAATATCTTCCTTTATCTATGGATTGGCACAAGTTAAGGGCCACCAGCTTGGGCAACTTGTGTGCAGAGGGCTCTCAAGTCAGCCCTCCTGCTCACAGAGACGAGAAAGTCTTTCCCCTGCTTGTTGCTCTTTGTCCCAAAGTCTCTTGTTCTATTTGGCCCCTGGGATGGCTCCACAACCATGGAGGCAAGGATCCCCAAATGGAGGGAACTATATCACCAGGGAAGCTTCAGTCCTGTCTCTCCACAAGCAGTTGAGAGTACTCATCAGGGTACAGAGCTTCACCTCTCTCATCTTTCCTCGTGCAACTTAATGTCACCCTTTATCTCTAGAGTGGCATGAGATCAGGGCCACCTGATCAAGCAGCTTGTGTGCTGGATTGGGGGCTAAGGGGGGCCATCTCAGGTCATCCCTCCCTCTCACAAAGAGCCGAGAAAGTGTTTCCCCGGCTTATAGCTCTGTGTCCTGAAGTCTATTGGCCTGTTTGGCCCGTGGGATGGCCCCGCAGCCAGGGAGGCAAGAATCCCCTAATGGAGGGACCTAAGCATATAATTTTAAGATGAAATTTTACTAAATTTGTATCCAGTATTGGAAAAGTCAACAAAATTTAAATTTTTCTACATTTATTAAGACTATTTATTAATACATTGATGTACATATATAATGAAACTTATGATAGCTGACACTTGTGAGAAACTGCATTGTTTTTCCAGGTCTTTCAAGTTTTCAGCCTTTGACAGGGTGTAGTCTTACCACTTTGTATTAGTGGAAAACATTTGAGTTCTCCTTCTCTAACAGGATTCTGTCTTACACATATCAGGGTTTATTGTAGTACATTTGTAAGTATTACTTCAGAATTTGGGAATATCAGTCTATCAACTGGAGGACATTTCAGGTCTGGATTGCAAATACAATTCAAAATTCAAATATCTGATGAAATTGGACCCAGTTTTCTTAACAATGGCCTTATGGTGACTCAGTGTTGAAGAGGAGTAAAACAACTTGGCCATGGTTAAGACTCAGCCCCTTTCACAACAATGAGCAGAGTTTGCTCAAACAAGGAATGAATATATTACAGAAAGCACATTTCACAATATCACAGTGTTGTTACTGATCAATAATCAGACCCACCACCTCTATCCCATTTCCCAATATATACAACCACAAAGACTTCCTATGCACAGAGGTTTGTTTATTTGCTTGCTTTCCAAAATGTCCCAGTGTTCCTTCACTGAAAAGCACAGCAGAATTCATTCACTGAGTTATTCAGTCAAAGAGTTCCTTCATTTTGAGGATGGGAAATCAAGCATGGTTTCAGTGATTAGCAAACTCTCAAGAGAGACCTCAGATTTTGGAAGAAGTGAAACAGAATACCACTGAAGGAGCCCTTCAGTACCAGGGTATGCATTGTCTCACTCTACCTTCTCTATGCTTTCAGATTTATTTTTCCTTTCATAACACATTATTGTACTAAATTAGAGAAATTATTTGTTGGCTTACTTACTGTCTATCTTATAGAAATGTAAGTTCAATGAAGACAGGCATACTAGCTTAATTGTATTTCTAGTTTATCACATTGTTGTTGTTGATGATGATTGCCTTCAAGCCGAGCATGACTCACAGAAATCCTACAAACAAAGGGCCTGAAGCCCCTCTACAACTATGAACATTTATCAAAGTTCATAGAGTTTCTGGAGGTATGTTATTTAGGAAGTGGGTGCCACTCTTGCCATTGGTTAGTATTTGCTTGGTGAATAATTTGTTGGTATCCACAAGTTGATATCCAGCTGTTAGTTTCAACTCATGGTCACCCATGTGTTTCAAAGTATAGTTGTTTTCCATACGTTTTCAGTGGCTTTTTCAGGTCTTCCTTCTCAAACGTCCAACCTTTTATTTAACAGCCAAGAACATTAAGCATTTGCAACTTCCAGGTCCTCTACAGGTTGACTAGGATCAAAAGCCACTTTCCTCCATCTCAGGTTATTAATACTTGGGATTTTTAATGTTTTTCTTATAAATTATTTTTCACAGTCTCAGAAAACTTAACAAAATAAGCTTCTTTGCAAATCAAGCCTTTAAAAAGTTCTACTTGTTGGCCTATGACTTCTTAACTTACCAATTTTAAAATTCTCTCTCTTGTTTCCTGGAAAGCACTGAGTAAACAAAAATGCCTGTCTCTCCTGTTTCAGCTTCAGCTCACATTTTGCTAACTTATTATGGCATGCCACAGAAAGGGGAAGTCGTGAAAAACAAACCCATACATGCTGCTAGCCGAAGCTCTCGAGGCTGCTGAAGAGCAGAGCTGTTGCTGTGAGGGGTCTTAGAGTCGATTCCTCACATGCCTGGTCCTGCACCATCCTCACAATCTGCCTTGTTCAAGCCCGTCGTTGCAGTCATTGTGGCAATCTCTCTCGCTGGAAATTAGGTCTCCTGACTTTCCACTGAGGGCTCCTTAGACTACAAACTGAATATTCAATAAAAGATTATTTTTCCTCTTGTTTCCATACCCAACTACTTTAGAAGAGAGATTGCATGATGACCCGAACTATGCTATGTGCTGACTTTTTATACGTTATGGAAAGCATTACAACTTTTCTCACTCTCTCATGGTTTTTCAGCCATGTGTCCTGGATATCCCATTAACCTTGATTGTTTTTCTATTCTCTGAAAGATTGCTCAATTCTAGGGTAGTTTCCCAAAGAGAAGTTGGTGGTTGGTGCAACTGAATGTCAAAAACATATGGAGCTCTGGTGGCCTAGCTGCACTGCAATCCCAGAGGTGTGTGGTTCAAATCCACCAGATGCTCTTCTGGAGACCGGGGGACGGGGAAGGGAATCTCCTCCTGTACCAGTCAGATCTGATTTGATGGTTGTTATTGTTGTTTGGTGCCGTTGAGTCATAGATGACTCATAGTGACCCTATGAACAAAAGGCCGAGCATTGTTCATACTTAGTTTCCGGAGGCAAGCCATTTCGGAAGTGGATGCTGCTCCTGCTTCCAGGCTTGTTTTAGTTGAGAAGCTCCAGCCAACACTGTCCATCATGGGTACCCATTACCACAACTGGCACATCACTGTCACAGTCTTCAGGAGATTTGATGGTACACACAAAAAAAATAATAAAATAAAATAAATTAAAACTCCCAGCAAAGATCTGAAGTGTCTGAACTAATGTGTATGCATTTATTGATTTCACATTGCAGCAACAAGATAAACAAGTGTAAGTCTATGTTTAACAAGTTAAAGGTGGTGACAAGGCAAGGCATTTTTTAAATGCATCTATAAGGCAAATAAAACATGTCTTTTTCATAATGTGGACACCAAACATTAGGAGAACTGATGAGTCATTTCAGCCCCTGAATACCATGATTGATGTGAAAAAGAACAAATTTCCTACAAATTGTTTGCAAACCTAAAATGAAAACATTTGAGTTCAGATACAAAATTGGAAATACAAACAGTATACTGGGAACTATCCTTAGCCAAGAATTCTCTATACAAGATTATGAACAAAAATAATGCACAAAAAAAGAAAAGGATGATCTAGAAAAACTGGATGCCTATCAATATCACATCTCTTCTTCAGATTCCTGTTCTCGGTCAGCATTTTTCAGGAGTCCAACTTCTGAGGGGCAGAATCTCTTAAGTTTAGATTTGACCAACCTAAGGAAAATAAAGGGGCAATCCATATTAGTTGTTTATAGTGAAAAGCAGGTCATTGTGGGTCTATAAGAGAACAAAACTCTACATCAGCTTTGCAAATGGATGGGTAACCCAAAATGAAAAATCATTTTCCTTTGGCTTGGGGACCACCTGAAAACTTTAGAGAATTAAAACAGACTATGAACAAACTGATACACTATAGTTTTCATATGTATTCAATGACTGTTAATAATCTTATCATTTCTAGAGTTCCTAGGGAGCTCTGATGGCCTAATGGCAAGAAGCTGTGCTGCAATCCCGAAGGCACATGGTTCGAATTCACCAGCTGTTCCATGGGAGAAGGATGGGCAATCTCCTCCCATGAGATGAAATGCCTCTGAAAACTCGCTGGAGGGTCAGCTATGTGTCGAAATTGACTCAATGGTACACAACAACAACAAAGAGGTCCCTAGGTAGTGCACACAGTCTGCACCCAAATATCAACCAAAAGATCGGTGGTTCTAACCCATCCAGAAGCATGTGGAGGAAAGGTGTGGCAATCTGCTTCCATAAAGGATTGCAGCCAATAAAGCACTATGGAGCAAGATCTTGTTCCACAATACATCATCATGAGTTGGAATCAACTAGATGGGAACCCTGGTGGGATAGCCCTGGTGGTATTGGCAGTTCGAATACAGCAGATCCAATCCACCAGGGACTTCTGGGGAGAAAGATGGTCAGTCTCCTCGTATAAAGAGTAACAGATCTGGAAACGTTATGGAGGATTGCTGAGGGTAGGAACTGACTCAGTGGCAGTGAGTTTTGAAAATAAGCATGAGAATCCATGGACCATACCAAGCCCTGTTAAAAGCGACCTTAGTTGATGGTGTATCTCAATCAGGTCACACTTAACTGTGTATTACAAAAAAGGTGCCATCTCCTGCCGGGAAGTACACAGGCACTTCCTTCCCCAGGGTTGGCTGTCCCTGTGAAGCCCCAGACTGCATTTCACTGCATCCACTAATTGCCCCTTCCATTCTCTTGTCCCTGGAATTGCTGTGCAAGTGAATTAGCAAGAATGAAATGCACACCACATTTGTGACTAATTTCCTGGCTTGAGGGACCGTAGATTTAGGAGAAGTAGCAATTCTAATTTCTCTCGTTGAAAGACGTCAAGTGCCTTAGTAGCAGAAGCTCATCAGGATCTTCACATCCCTCTTGTGAGAAAACAAGCATATAATCAGAACTAGGAAAAGCTTTTCCTGTGCATTATTACATGTAAAGACATTATACTGGAACCACATAAATAAAGCATGGCTCATGTCCAGAAATCTATTGCTGTTTAGGTATACTTAGTCAACTATGACCACAGCGAATCTGAACCTTACTCTATTCTGTACCTTTCTAATCATCTCAAATATACTTGAGCCCTTTGATACAGTCACTGTATTGATCTATCTTGTTGACTGTCTTTCTTTGCTGATACTTGACCTTTCCAAATATGATGTCTTTTTCCAAGGACTGGCCCCTCCTCACAACATGCCCAAAGTAGGTGAGATGAAATTTCACCACTCATAGGGAAATGCAAACAAGCTTCAAAAAAATAAAACATCAAAATGATATTTCTTTTTCTATCTTTATGGAAAAACTTCACATGACTACTTGCACATTTCCCTTTGTTTTCTGTCTTCCTTATTCTTACAGAGAACACCATGAGATAGGAAATTAGGGCTCATTCTGGGACAAAACCTCTCAGCATCTCCTGATGACTTTATTTGCTTCAGGACGTAACTGCTAACTCCTTGCTTGTGTTGGCTGACCTTGTTTTTATGTGCTGTTGAGATGACTCTGACTCATAGCAACTCTGAGAACAATGGTTCTGAACCCTGCCCTATCCTGAGTCGATCCCACTGTCCCCAACACACCTGTCCTCATTACGACAGTCACAGTGTCCATGCATCTCCTCCAGGATCTTCCTCTTCTATGCTCATCCTCCACCCTCCCAAACATGATGGCCTTCTACAAGGACTGATCCCTCCTGACAACATGGCCAAAGTATGTGAGACAGAGTTTCAAAATGCTTGTCTCCATGGAGCAACCTTGTTTTACCATCTCCAGGAGAGACCTGTTTGTTCTCTTGGCAGTCCATGGTATGTTCAAAACTCTTCTCCAACACCACAGTTCAAAAGCATCTGTTCTTCTTTTTGTCATCCTTATTTTCCAGCTTGTGGGGTGTATCAGGCATATCTTAGTCTTCAGACTGACATCATTGCTCTTCGACAGTCTGCAGTTGTCTCTGACAGCAGATTCCCAATGCAAATCATCTTTTGATTCCCTGACTGCTGGTTTCAAGAGTGTTGATTGTGGATCGGAAAAGTATGAAATTGTTAACAACCTCAATCATTTCTCTGTCATGCTGCTGCCAACTGCCCTAGTGGTAAGGATCTTTGTTTTCTTGATGTTGAGCTTCAATCTATATTGAAGACTGCAGTCCTTGACCTTCTGCAGCTAATGCTTCAGGTCTCTCTCAGTTTCAGCAAGCAGGGATGGGCCACCTGCATAAAGAGTGTTGTTGATCAGTCTTCCTCCAATCCTGACGCCACATTCCTTCTCAAAGTCCAGCCTCCTGAGTGATCTGTTCCACAAATTAATTGAAAAAGGTATGGAGAAAGGACATATCCTTGACACACTCTTTCTTGGTTTTGAAACATGCAATATTTTCTTGCTCTGTCCCTTCAACAATTTCTTGGTCTAAGTTTAGATTTCGTATGAGCACAATTAAGTGTTCTGGGGTTCTCATTCTTCTCGATATTAGCCACAATTTGTTGTGATCCACATAGTCAAATGTCTTTGAATAGTCAATAAAACACAAATAGGCATTCCTCTGGTACTCTCTGCTTTCAGCCAAGATGCATCTAACATTGTAAACAATGTCTCTAGAGTCGCAACCTCGTCTAAACACAGCTTGTATTTCTGGCAGTTCTTTCTTGATGTACTGTTCCAGTCATTTTTGGATAATCTTCAGCTGACCTTAACATACAACACAATTCTTCATTTCTGTGGAATCTAGGTACTAGAGTACATGAGTCCAAGTTTCCAAAACATACTCAGATGCTTTGCTTGTAACTCAGTTTCCCATTGCCAAAAGTTACATGCTGAGCTGATATTCAAACTCAGAGATGTGACCCACAAACTTTGCACCCAATTACTATAACCCCTCTCCTTTTGGCCAGCCGTGAAACCCACCTCCTCCTATATATAAGCATGATGCCCTTCTCCAACTAATATGCTAGTTTCTTAAATACCACCTCTTCTTGGAGACTTTATAATTTCTCCTCTTTCCTTTGTTCAAAAAGACACATTTACCTAGCAGAAATAATGCTAACTCTTCCCCTTTGCAAAGGCTCACTTTTTTACAAATTCCTTGCTTGCACAAAATGCTCCCATCTCTCACTTTGTCAATTCTTGCTAGTGGGAAGGGGTAAAAACCCCACAACCCTAAAATTTTGAAATAAAGTTTTCCAGCCACAACCCAATCTATCTTTATACCCGCTCTGAACCCCATTAGAATATATTTCAGAAGAGCAAAGACTATTCTGGTTTATGGCCCTGGTTCTAACGTGAAAAGTAATGCCTGGTGCATAAGTGCTTAACATATATTTATGAATCAACAGCCATTGAAGTCATCTTCTAGGAGTTTCACATCCATCACCAACTCATAGAAGCTAATACGTCAATTTAAATTTACCAGTGATTCCTTGAATATCAAAAACTACACAGGTTCAGTAATGTCTGTCAACTCAAATGCCAAAGACAGCTTTCTGCTCTCATCCTCCCAAAAAAGTACAAAACTTCAAAAACAAAACCACCATAGAAAACTATAGGCCAATATCTCTCATGAATATTGATGCAAAAATCCTAAATAAAATACTGGCAAATAGGTTCCAACGATACATAAAAAAAATAATCCACCATGACCAAGTGGG